TCAAATCTCAGATTAATTCATGGTCTGCAGGATCCACTGGTGAAGGTTCAAATCTCAGATTAATCCATGGTCTGTGCAGGATCCACTGGTGATGGGTTCAAATCTCAGATTAATCCATGGTCTGCACAGGATCCACTCGTGATGGGTTTGAATCCCAGATGCATCCATGCTCTGGATGATCCACTGGTGATGGGTTCAAATCCCAGATGCATCCATGGTCTGTGTAGGGTCTGCTGGTCTTGGGTTCAAATCTCAGATTAATTCATGGTCTGAACAGGATCCGCTGGTGATGGGTTCGAATCCCAGATCCCCCCTGATTAATGACCTCGGTCAGTGGGTTTCACCAAAGTGGTGTTTGTCTACTAGCTCTATCACTGTGTTTTCCTCCCGCATTAAGCTGAGACACCATGACAACGGATGTTCAGCTCCAATGCCTGTTAAACCCAACTTACAAACAAGTATGTCATGTCTAGTGAAGACTTCAGTGTTGTTTAGTGTCACTCATGTGGGTGCTAAGTCGTGTATGGTATGTTTGATATACCAAGCCAACTTTCACATCTGTTTTGTCATGAACGGAACTAGATGATGAGGGTGATACTTTTTTAAATAGATATTTCATTTGTCACATATGCACTGTCAGTCCATTATACATAGATCATTACATGTCTCATTCATTTTATTCAAGTTGAAAATTACTCCAGAAAATTTAACTTTTTCACAACTTTTCATATATTTATATTGAAATTATAATATTTGCCACTGCAGGTACATATCATGTTGTGTTTAATGTATTTTTTCACATTTTTAAATTCACAATTGAATATTTGTATTCTTTATTATGATGTGCAAGTATGCATGTGCTGACTTGTTTGAGAGAGTGTTTGCTTGTTTGAGAGAGTGTTTGCTTGTTTGAGAGAGTGTTGGCTTGTTTGAGAGAGTGTTGGCTTGTTTGAGAGAGTGTTGGCTTGTTTGAGAGAGTGTTGGCTTGTTTGAGTGATTGTTGGCTTGTTTGAGAGAGTGTTTGCTTGTTTGAGTGATTGTTAGTTTGTTTGAGAGAGTGTTGGCTTGTTTGAGTGATTGTTAGTTTGTTTGAGTGATTGTTGGCTGTATTGTTTGTGAAAGGCTTGTGTTCAGCATGTATTCTACATGTGCTGTTTGCAAATATGCACTTCGTAAATAGCAGGTATTGTCATAAACAAAGGGACACGTTATCAGTATTATTTTTTTGTAAGAAAACCTTTTGACTGACAACTGGCACAGCCCCTGATCTAGAATGAACTCTGGGGCACATGTTTTATGATAAAAATTCACACAGAACCAAACCACCATAAAAATAAATTATCTATTGAACAATACTCATTACTGTGTTAAAAATGAAATTTGAAAATTTTGTCTCAGAATTGAAAAGACCACTCTACAGAGTAGCTGCCTCACTCTAAAAGTCTTCATTAAAAGTTTGGCATAGAAAATGTGCTTATGGGATCCAAACAGCCAAAAATGGATTTAATTAGCATCCTCGATTATCTAGTGTATTAAATCTCCATTATGTTGTGATACATATCCTTGACACATTCTTATCATCTTCAGCAACCCATGCTTGCCATAAAAGGCGACTATGCTTGCCGTAAAAGGTGACTATGCTTGTTGTAAAAGGTAAACGTCTGAGACCTGCACCATTTCGGGCTTTCCTCCCACATTAAGCTGACACGCCATGATATAACTGGAATACTGTTAAAAGCGGCTTTAAACCCAACTCACTCACTCACTCACTCCTGTCATCCACAATGAAAAGTTTCATTTCTGTCTTTAGAACATCCAAATTTCATTTAATGAGGAAAACCAAATATCAGGGACGAGGTCTTACTAGGAAACAGTAAAACGTCATCCCAGATCTTACTGCCTGTAAAAAAATAGTTAGGTTTAATCGCAAGTACCAGCATAAAGGTTTTTAATCAAGGATGCTGCATAGAAAAATGTCGCTCCTGCAGGAGCACCAGATTGCATGGAAGAGATGTGTAGCCTCTGTGTGTGTGTGTGTTTTTTGTGTGTGTGTGTGTGTTTTGTGTGTGTGTGTGTGTTTGTGTTCGTGTGTGTTGTGTGTGTGTGTGTGTGTGTTGTAACTTTGTTGCCCCTCCAACTCGAGAGCATGAATCCTAATGTGTTGTTCAAGTATTCATTCTCTTCCTCAAGAGTTCATTTGACTTTTGTGTAAGAATTGGTGTGTTTGATAATATGCACACCAACATATATATGTTTCTGTTTACAAATGTTGAACAGCAGTATGATTTGTAAAATAACCCTGTCAGGTTTGTTAGGATCCTTATGTGAGTGTAGGTACAATGTGAAGCTGACATTTGTTGTGTATATGAAATGAATTTTTCACACACTGCATTACTTTAATTACTTCCTCAAAGTTATTATTTGTGAGTCCATGGTTTGTTTGTACCAGACTTGAACGTGTTGGCAGTTGCCCTGTAGTTGTAGCAGGTTTTATACAATATTCACACATGTATACAAGTACTAAATGTACAAAATGGCATGCTTTAGAAAATTTGAAATTGTTCCAGATCCAAATGCCTATTCCACTTTGATGTTAATTATATATTATCGGACATTTAATTTTTTATGACTTGTATTCATATATTAAATTTAAATTCAAATTAATGATCATCTAGCCTGTCAGTGTTTACGATTCAGTGACTAAGCTGCTTTCCATCCCAGAACTGATACCCTTCAGAGCCCTATTCCAGAAATCAGTGTTGGCGCTAATGTGATTGTTACTCCCATACTTCAACCAACACAGTCATAGTGATAACATCACATTTGGGAACAGGGTCCTGAAGTAGAAACTTGTTAATGTGACATCTTCGTCCTTGCAGCACTTTTACTAAGCTCTCAAACATTAAGCTGCTTCCTCCTTGCAGCACTTTTATTAAGACCTTAACACCGATTATGGCTATTTGCCTCATTTTATTTAAGATCATACAGCACTTTTAGTCGTCTTGACCACTGACCTTGGCTATTTGGCCTCATGGTATTTCAACTCCTACAGTTTTTTGTGACAATGGATGTTAAGGTTGTGTGGCTGCCTGTATACAGGGGAGAGTGTGAGGTGCATCCAAGTGTTATTTATGTGAGTTGTTCGCCATACTTTGAAAGCAAAAGAGGATAAATAAATGCTAGATATGCATAGGAGTGTACGGAAATTGTTGATGTTGTGTTTATATGTGTTGTCTGAAAAATCTAGAAATCCACTCATTTCCCCCAAATCCATTGTCATGACGCTTTGTCAATGAGAATAACATGACTTAACGCATTGTGAAGCTTTATTTACTTGTTGAGAGAGATAAGACTTATTTATATTCTGGATGTATGTTTCATTGTTAAACTCCTAACTTGTTGCCATGCTACTCTTTTCTAGTTGAGGTTCATATTTACCTAATATGAAGTAGTGGATTAGCTGTTATTTTTCAAATCATGTAAAAGTTCCTAGATTAAACTATGATCTCACTTCCATCTTGTGTCTATTGTAATTTTGTCTAATTAGACTGCCTCTGTGGTCTAGTGGATGGAGAACCTGCCGGGAGAGTGGAAGGTCGGTGTCATACCAAAAGACGTTAATAGATGGTACCTGTTACCTGTCCGCTCAGCATTAAGGGCTAAAACATATTGTGTCTGAGTGAGGTATTCATGTTAAACTGTGGGCTAGCTCTATAAAGTCTGTATAAGTCTGGAGTAGTACAAACAGCCACACTCACACACAAGTGCTTGTACGTCGCTATATATAAGTGAAATACTGTAATCTTGAATGTGACGTTAAACCCCACCTTGTTTCAAACATGTAAATTAGTGAATGATAACTGATGCCTGGGTCAGCAACATATCCACACAGTGCTCATTTGAGTTGGCTGAGGAACAGGGTACTAAATCTGACCCGTAATCACACGTCCACAGCCAAACTGGATCTAATGTACACAGCAAAACAATGACTAGGTCATATGACGGGGATTACTATTGCCAAGAGCATATATTCTGAAGTCGAGATGCTCCGGACAATTTCAGCAACATTATGATTAAGAAGTATATGAGTGGTTTATTCTCCTTGCAGTGTTTTATTGTATGATAAACAATGACCATGAGTCATTTCTGAGATTTCAACATTATGTACAGCCTCTTTAAGGATGTTAATAAAATGTACAAGCTTTAAAAATATTTACCTGTATATAAAAGATGACTCCCTGAATAAAATCCAACCTTAGGAATGTCGGACAAGTACATTTTATAAACAGGGGGGTTAAGTTTGGTATTTTCCAGATATTCACACGTCGATTCACATGAGGATTGTAAGAATATGCAGGAAATATCCACCTGTGTGTAAAATGGACTTGTCCTATATAGCCGACAGTGGATTCTACTGAGGGAGTCATTATTTATAAATGGGTAAATATTTTTAAAGCTTGTACATTTTATTATCATCCTTAAAGAGGCTGTACATAATGTTGATATCCCATTTAAGAAATAACAAATGTTTTTTTCCTCTTTGCGATTTATCGTGTAGGTATCCTATATTCATGTATAGAGGAAACAACATCTAATTCAACTTTACATAAGGTGTAAAACACATTCCCTTATCAATGAAAACATGGCTTTTAAATAATAAAAATATTTTTTCGAAATAACCTTTCCTCTTATGGTGGAATCAAGCAAACGAGACTTGGTTTGTATGATCTAGACTTGCCTAGGCTTTCAGTAAAAAAAAATACCCCAAAAATATAAATTCCACAGTCATGGTGCAGGACTTACATTCATTGTGCCCCTTCATCTATTTGGCTGTTTATGATTTGGGTCCAGTGTAGTATACAATACACTTTATGCAACAGTGCGACTTGCCCTGAGTTTACACACTGTGCCATGGCCTTGAATGGTAACCGTTTGTTTAATGAACAGTATTCCAGCTATACGACAGTGGCCGCTAAATAATTGAGTAAGAAAAACAAAACTTGTATTTCCACTTGTTTATTGCACGCTGAAGCACACACAGATACATACTTCCATCCATTAACATCAAGGTACCTGTCCCACAAACAGCAGGAGCAGAACAAGCCTTCAATGTTGAACACAGATTTGTCCCATTCCACAGATTGTGCTGGTCCAACACCACTATACTATGTAGTGATAAACATTCTTGAGTATAAGGAGAGCACCAACCATGTGAGAGCCTAGATTTTCACAATGCTGAAGTATACTACTCAAGAAAAGTTAAAGAACACCGACTATTGGAAGGCTGGGTTTTGCGATATCAACCAGCCATGACACATTTATTAGTCATACGAAAAATTCGGGACTTTTTAAACTTCGTTTGAGTGGTATATATTAAGGGTCAAGATCAGAGGCGCGTTTGTTTTTGATGGCCCATAAATATATATTAAGTCGCTCACTTTGATGTTAACTATTCCCCAATCAGTCTTTGAAATGTGTGTGATCAAGGAGATGTTATGCTGCGCCCACATCTTTCCCAAGACTCCGTAGCAAGGGAGTAATCAGAGGAGAAACAACGACCTATGAGGAATTACAGATTATTTGTCCTGAGTGAAGAAATGGTGTAAGCCTCAATCAGTGGCGAGGGAATTGCAGCATTCATTCCAGAGAAACAGATACGCCTTAATTCTGAGGTTCGAGCAAGATATCCTGTGTATTACTCATTGACACTTCAAGAAAGAAAGGAAATAAAATAAAAGAAGTATCAGCCCAACAGAGAGATTTCACTAAAATCATCCAATTGTTCACAGGATGTAATGTCATCAATTGTGAGTGGGTGAGTGAGTGAGTGAGAGAGAGTGAATTCCTGGCATTCTTCATATTTTTCAACCCGATTAGCCACAAAAGTTTGCATTATTGGCAGAATCATCAGGAATTTCGAACGTTTCTGATTCAGGGTGATTTGGGATATTTGTTGTCGTAGTGAAAGGGGGGCATTACTGGGTGCAGTGGCAGGAAGGAATCCATGTATTCATCTGAAAGATGGTAACAACAATATATGTATTTTTCAAAAAGGTACAGGTCATATACTATCCAATTTCATAGAGAAGAGTTGCAGACATGTTGATTCTGAACATGAATCACACTGAATATCGTTCAGTTTCAGTCTCAAATTGCTTTGTATTTTCATCATGGTAACCACGGTAACCATGGTAACCCGACGGAGAAGTGTGAAAGGAAGGACTTGTGTGGCATATATGATATATGAAAGCATTCATACAGCAGCAAGCACAATACTGAACATCATGAGTACGAATCTGATGCACGAAAATTCAGTAGATCTCACAGGAGTGGCTCACTTCTACATAAATAACAAACGCTTTGATTCACATTGTTAGATTTCGTAACCTGAACCAACAATGGATAAGAGAATGTCTGCATGTTTATTTCACCTGCATCAGTTCCTGCAGATTCCATAAAAAAAATAAAAAATGAGCAAGGTTTTGGCAATGAAATATTCCAGCGACAGCCCCATGAATGAGCTTCACTCGTTATGCCTGTGTGTGGGACCGACCACCCTAGGACCATGTCGGGACAAACCACCACTTCCCCCACAGCCTACCAATAAAAGAATAAGAAAATAAAGAGATGTTCTGTTCGAGCACTTGTTTTTTACTGCTATGAACTCACAATATCATTTCTATACAGCCTTAGAAATTTGTCTGGTCCTCTGAGTTGGTGGCTGCTCCTGCTTGAACAAGACATACATGTTTACCATGCTTACATGTCTTGTCAATTCGTAGCAAAATTGAAGCATTGAGAACTGGTTCAGAATTATAGCCCTCAAATGCTGCTAGCCAATAAGGACTACCATCAATGGCTTTTTACATGGCCTCAGCACAATTTAGTTGTCACGAACTATGATGAATTTCACAGGCAGTAATAACATAGTATCTCCACAACAAAACATAAAAACTAGCAAAGAATATATAATTTCGAGGAAATGACAAGTATGGGTCCTTGACTTACAGAGCCAGTATCCTCAGCACTCATTATCATGCACATTAACAGGTATCATTCAGTGAGACATACATGTATCTCTTTAAAACTAACTAAAGGAAGCCATTGAGCAGCACCCAAAGGCTGGAAGACCTGAAGCAACACATGACCATGTCAAAAAGAGCCACAGCGCAATAATGTAGGCCTCATTTTGTGTATAACCAGACTTGGAAGGAGTGCTCGATGTCTACCTTGGACACATGTTGCAACTGAGGCCATATCACAATATTCTGTTGTTCTCTGTACATAGTAATTATGAGTTCCGGATCTTCAGGATGGGGGAGCTCTGTGCCACAGGCGTGGTGTCTGTGAAGGCGGAGGAGTCGTTAGTGGGTGTGGAGGCAGGAGAGTTCAGAGTTGTGGGAGTCAAGGTCGTATGTGAAGATCTCTTCTTAGGAGTTCCATCCCTTGAGAGGGAAGATCGTTTCTTTGGTGTGGTGTCTTTCACTAGAGATGATCTTCGTCTTGTCTTTTTGAGAATATGCTGACCGAACTGCAATATAAAGAAGCATTTTATCAGATTTTCATCTGTGTCCAGACCAGGAAGAGACTAAAGACAGAGAGCAGATTCAAAGCTTCAATTAAACAGCAGATCGTGAAGTATGCGGTCAGGTGACCCGATCCTTGGTGGGACTGCTTGCACAGTTTGGCTCTAGTTCTAACAGTTGTGGACAATACAATAACTAAAGGAACTAAAAGTTTCAGAAAATCAATTAATGTTAATACAACCTTTGATGAAATACTGTACTTAAAAACTGAACTTAAAAAGGCGCATAACTGAACTAAAATCTTAAAGATACTGGTTACATGTAAATCTATATTCCTCTGACAGCATTCTCATATATGCTCCTGATCTGAACTAACAACACTTTCTCCTTCTATAACCTACTGGCAGTCTAGGGCTCATCTCCGGAGAGCTGAAGTCGGGGTTGTTCTCCTTGTCGAGTTCCGGGCTGTACAACCTGCGATGAGCAAACTTCTTCTTCAGTGCTTGAGCTATGATAGAAGCAGGGTCCAGTGAGTCCGAGTTGGGCTTCCCTCGTAGCGGCGTACCCCCTGGAGATCTGGCCAACAAACATACAAATGTAGACATGATTCCTGTCTGTACTGTTCTTGGGAGACAAAAAAGTTCGAAATACCACTTAAGGATTGAAGTTGTATTTGTTGACGTTCTTCAACTGATGCAGACCGTGCCTCACGTGAGCAAATTTCATACTGTGCGAAGCGCTTCATGGTAAATTTGCTCATGTGAGGCACTATCTTCATCAGCTGATGAACATCAACAAATACAACGTCTATCCTTTTATTGACAGATACGTAAATCATAACAAAACTATCCACTAAACATCAAACATGAATTATTTAAAGCAAACTATATCATCTGTCCCAAACATTCTATTTGGAGTGACATCCTTTGGTTTTACAAACGGCAGAAAATGGCGGGTACAGCAATGTCATTCACTTGAAATGAGCACCCAGAAAACGTTAGCATTGGAAAGAAATCCAGATCCGGTTAAGGCTGAAAATGGATTGATATTAACGTTCTGTGAACTTTGGGTGTGTGTTTGAGTCATAATACGGCTGCTGATGACGGGGATTACCGCTTGAGGCGGCGCGGTTGGATTTCCGAAACAATACACAACAGTGTGGAGCTCAGTGATATCTTTTGATAAGTCAAGAACTCACTGTTATAGCTTCAAAAGGATGCTTCATTTCAATGACCCGACATATACATGATGTGTCTGGCCTCAAAGCCATCATTCGTAGCCTGAATTGATGTCGTCAGTGTTCCCTAATAATTTTATTTTTATAATATAACATGTTATTTTTAGACATTGAGGAATTCCTCCAACGTAGTTCCTGTATGTCTCTGCTTGATTGACAACGTAATCACATGAAACACTGACATTCATTGGGAAATGAACAACAGTCAGCTTGGTAGTGTTCACCTAGACGAGGTCACCCGCTACCATCAATATCTAAGCAGGGGGTTTAAGACTGAGTTCAAGATTAGTGAACTTCTACTGCAATGTGTATGCATGTGTCTGTCTGTGTCTGTTTGTACTAGTCCAGGCTTCTGCCAGTTTTATAGTGCCAGCCCACAATGATAACAGTCCTTGTTTTATCCCGGTTTATTAATACTGAGTTGTGAAAGGAGTAACAATGGCACTAATTCCCCTGAAAGATCTTCAAACTGACTTACCTTTTGATGGACCTCAGTTTGACTGTTCCCAGCCCCTTGAGGATCTGTGACATGTCGGGCACTCCGTCCGCCTGGGTACTGTTGTCAGGGCGATCGGAATCACCTGCCACCTGGAGACCGGACTTTTGCTGTAACGGAAAACATACATATAGATAACTAGAATGGTTTAGTTTTAATTTGATCTACATAGAATAATTACATGCACAATCTTAATCTTCCATCTGCCTCTCTTACTTTAAACTTGTTCGATGTCTACACTATGCTCAAAATGCTGCTGAGATTATTTGCTTCACAATATATACACAATCATTTGAAGATTGTTATTTGATTTATCAAACACAAATACTTCACCTGTTTGAGCATAGCTGCTAGTGACATCCCGCCTGCTTTAGACTTTGTACCAAGCACAGGGGTGGAGGGAGGCGGTGGAGGGGGTGGAGGAGGAGGGGGTGGAGGAGGAGGGGGTGGGGGACCAGAAGGGGGCAGGGGAGGGGCAGGAGGAGCACACACTGCTGGGAGGGTTATGCTGGCACCTTCAGGATCAGCTGTAAGAAATATATAGACATTCATCATACTGAAAATAGTCCACCACATCTCAAGGTAAAATACTGCTTTAAAAATGAATTAACTGGGCCTTGTTAACATGGATAGAGAGGTAAAATGAGGTTTAACATCTCATTCAAAATTATTGCACTTTTATAGCAACGCATTTACATACATGCAGGGATAATTCTAGGAGGGAGCCTTGTGCTTTAAGCTCCTAAATCTGAAAAAGTCCCACATTTTCAAATACAATGGGAGCATTTTAACATTGTGCTGCATGGGCATACCTCTGGAATATATGAAATTTTCACATGAAGGGACCATGTCAGAAAATTCCTGGAGTTAACCCTGTACATGTGTACAACATACGTGTCGGGTATGCGTGCATTCACGTATTGTTTTTTAGTCCAGACTAATGCCAGTTTTATGGTGCTAGCCAAAAAATATACCATGCCTCACATTTAACATGGATTGTTTGTTTGTTTTTTAATGCCGCACTCAGCAATTTTCCAGCTATATGATGGCGGTCTGTAAATCATTGAGCCTGGACCAGACAATCCAGGGATTGATATCATGAGCATCGATCCACGCCACTGGGATCGATGACATGCATCAACCAAGTCAGCGAGTCTGACCACCTGATCCCGTTAGTGGCTTCCTATGACAAGCATGGGTTGCTGAAGACCTATTCTACCCCGGATCTTCATGGGCATCAGTAACACTACAGCATACTGACTGAGCCAACCAGTCCTTGTATTAATACAATAATGCCAAAAGCCAGGCGGGGTAACAAGGGCCATCTTTTAACATCTTTTGGTATGACTCTGACTGGAATCAGACGGGAATTGACCCGCCGACCTTCTGCTGTCCGTGCAGCCGCTCTATCCACTAGCCCATGGAGGCTGTCACATGGTTAGAGGTTTGTGTGAATTCATAATGAAAATAGTAGCAAATGTACTAAAGATCGAATAATATATGATAAGATTCTTTACAGCTAAGTGCTCAATGAATAAGTACTTCTTAAATCCTGGTTTCCACAAGACATGCAAGAGATATATATCACTTGTGTGAGATCGAACATTTCTATTTCCCTCATTTTGAGAATTCATGCAATCTTTTGTTTTGAATTAATGATCACATGTAAACTAAAAGAAGAAAGTTGTCACAGATAGTAGGAGGACACTGTGGTGCCTTTACATAAAAATGTTAGGCCACCAAAGTTGCAAATAAATTAAGTGCATTTGGAGTTTGGTACAGTCAAGTCCCGTAAATCCGACATAGATGGTTGCATATGACTATGTCGGATTAACGAGTATGTCGGATAAACGAAATTAATTAGTATCAACATTCGTGATCAAAAATCGGACAACTTGAATTGTGTTGATTTATTTCAATCAGGAGAATTTCTATTTAGTACAACAATGTACAATGAATGATCAACGACAATTATTGATACAATAATACTTCATACACTTAATAATTAAAATAAGATGGAGCCACAAACTCTAGCTCATATGATTAAAGTTTTAATGATCAGAATCTCATATTTTGGCAAATGCTAGCTTGAACCATTGTGAACATGGACAGCAGTATCATGCTGAACACACTCTCACCTCGGATAGATTTATTTGTCTCCTGTGTGAGTACAAGCAGCGCTATCTGTTTGCGTAGTGCTGCCAACTCCTCCTCCATCGCTGTCAGCTTCAACACTGTGCTGGCATCCTGCGTCATGTTAGACAACATCGACAACGACTGATTCAGGGGAGTAGACGTCATCTCCTTCCGCTGTATCAAGAATGTGGCATCATCCGTAGCGTTTATGACATCACATTCCTCATCACTGTCCTTCTTCTCCACCCTGACACATCAACCAACAGTTAGCATGGTACGCTATATTATCACAGTGGTTAATTTATAATGGATTGTAATGGCGCACGCTTACTAACTTATTAAATATTTGATACGCAAAACCAATTTCTGTTTTGGATTATGCACGATCAGTATGCATACTGCCTAGTTGGGTCACGGGACATCAACCAAATAAATGGGGTCTTTTCTGACCAATTTCGGGGCGGTCGGGTTGCCTAGTGGTTAAAGCGTTCGCTCGTCTGGGTTCGATTCCCAACATGGGTACAATGTGTGAAGCCCATTTCTGGTGTCCCCAGCCAGGATATTGCTGGAATATTGCTAAAAGCGGCGAAAAACCATGCTCACTCACTCCCTCTGACCAATTTTGATTGGAGGTAGGTGTAATTCCACTTCAAAAACATTCCAGAAACATGTATACTTTACTGTAGTCGTTACACACCACAACTAGTCCTGTATTCGATCAAGCGATGAATTACCATGCTTAGATTTGCATAAGTAAACAGTCGACAGGGTGTGTGGATTACAAGATTTATCGATACCACAATAATATAGAGCCCACAATAATATAGAATCATACTATAATTTTACATTGTGTTGATATAGAATGTAACATAACTTTGTTCTGGGGTACACCAGAAATGGAACCACCCCCAACCCATCAGGATTCCAGATGACCTGGTGGTCAGGCTTTGTGAAACGACAATCCATAAAGGGATAAAAATTCTAATAGGTGACAGGGCACCGGGTGGACCTGTCTTCTCACAGGGCACCAGGTGGACCTGTCTTCTCAGAAACCTAGGATCAGTGGAGAGAAATCCCAGATTCGCTCTGGCCACATTTCATTGTTTGTAAGCCTGTGCTCGAGGACTTAACCCAAGCGGTAAACGTCTAATGGTTCATAACTTTATTCTTTCCTTCCACATGAAGTAGCCATGCTGTGATATAACTGCAATAGTGTTCAAAGCTGCACGAAAACCAAACTCACCCACTCACAGTGGGCTCAATGTTGGTTGAAGGGGCATGTGGGTAGCTTGTGTGGTTAAAAGTCCTATCACACCGGAGATTTGGGTCTAACTGTGCATGTGGGTACAAGTGTAAGTCCATCTATGGTGTTCCCTTATGCTATCGTGGGCAAATGGCTGGTTCTCCCTCTCCTGCTATGCTGTCCAGGTTTGTTTGTTTGTTGTTCATGGTTCATTCATACAGATATGAGGCACTAAAATTCAAGGCTTTTCAAGCTGTTTTGGTGATTTTCAAGGCTTTTCAAGGTTGACACTGAAAATCAAGGCTTTTCAAGGACCTTAAAATTCAAGGCCTCTTCAAGCCTGTCTGAACCATGTTATTAGTTCTGGTGTCTTTAGTTGCTGTATACGGTGTTATATTAGGTTAGCTCACGCCTCGCCCAATATTTTTCTGCTAATCTAATATCACACCGTATATGGCCACTAAAGACACCATGACAAATTTATTATGCCTAAAAGTTTACACTCTCTGGTATCCATATCGCACGTGTCATGTCAAAATGAAAACTTGACACTTACAACCATACGTTGACGTTAAGGGTCAAAGGGAGACCACTCTTCAAACCTTAGAGGCCAAACCTTGTTGAAAATTTTAACTATAACCTTTATCAATAAAGCCATGAACGTGATCAAAAAAACAGATTAATGTCCTTGCGCATCACAATTAATGATAGTAAAACACAAAAGAGTGTCAAATAACGAATTTCGGTACCAGAATTTCCATGTGAAATATGTGAGGTGTGTTGGAAAATCCAAGATGGCTGTTACTGATGACATACAGACTCATTAGGTCAGTATCAACCATCTTGGATTTTTACTGACTGTATACAGGCTCATTTGGGGTCAGTCTCACTTTGAGGCATAATAATGTTAAACATGGAAACTCAACAATATTCCAGCCATATGACCCAGTCTGTAAATCATTGAGTCTGGACCATTCAGAGCTCCAGATAAGCTGCGTATCTGCGTAAAATATGCATCAGAAATGCAGAAATAAAATCCAAGCATTCAAATACGCAACAAACATTACAGATACGCTACAAAAATAAAACTTGTGCGTATCATCAAAATATTGTGAAGTAACCCTGCGTGTTCAATTAGCAAATAAGCAACTTATTTTGAAATTATAACGGGAATTCCGTCAACCTTGCCAAACTCCACGATGACAGTTACATCATGATCATTTGCCATCACACTTTCCTGTGGAAGTATCGTGGTATCGTCCTATAAAGCTCTCGAACCCACACGACACCAGTTTGCAGGGACTAGATGAATAGTGTTTTTAAATATTTAACTTAAATACCCACATGTGTAAAAACTAGTGGGTAACAGAAATTTGTATGCTCAAATAGAATTACTGATACCCAATGATTTTAAAATGCATGGGTAAAATACCCACAACACCAAAAGCTTATCTGGAGCTCTGACCATTGATCAATATTGTAAGCATCGATCCATGCCATCGGGGTATGATGACATGTAATCAACTAAGTCACCGAGTCTGAACACCCAATCTATTGAGTTCCCTCTTATGACCTTTGTATCTATTCTAACCTGAGTACCCCCAGGGCCAGTCCAGGTAGGATCTGGGACGTACCTGTAGTGTATGCAGTTTTCTCCCCAGTCCTCCTCCACCCACTGGAGATCCTCAGAGGCAAATGAGGTAGATGAGAAACAAGTGTTAATACTCTCTGTGCTGCCATGACGATACACCAGCTGACTTGGGCCAAGCAGATGACTCTGGAAATAAAAATGAAGCCAAGCTCAGACAACCCAGGAGAGGAAAAGACGATCTAATGAACAGATCAAAACACAGAGGACGTGGTTGATTCAAATGCATTAAAAAATGTATAAACATCATAAAAGCTGATATCCTGAATAATTGCAACTCTTAAATCAACTCTTAACATTTATTCAAATTTTGCAAAATAACGTTTTAAGCTAGCACCATACAGGGTTATAACTAAACTCAAAAGCTTTTCTAGCCCTGGTAAAGATAAAATGCTCTTGTAATGTTAAAACAATGGGGAAATTTGTAAATTTATACTAGCCCACAAGAACTTGTACTAGTCCTGGGCTAGTGGCCTAGTGTTAAGTTCTAACCCTGCCATAGTGTTATTTATGTTTTTTTACACAGAAATTACAATGATTTACATCATGATTTGATAAAATCTGTCTGCCATACATGCAGTATTCCCAGATAGTTAATTGTTTGTTTGTTTGTTCTTTCCACCGCACTAAGCAATATTCCAGCTATATGACGGCAGTCTGTAAATACTGGAGTGTAAATCAGACAATTCAGTGATTGACATCATGAGCATCAATCTAAGCATTTGGGATACAATGACATTCATCAACCAAGTCAGCGAACCTGACCACTCGATCTTGTTAGTCGACTCTTACGACAAGCATAGTACATGTATACAGTTGTAGTTGTACCTGCAATCTTATTCTTCTGGCAGGTTTGCGGGGTAGGATGGATGCGATGTGCCGCACCAGGCTCCGTCTCCCAACCCCTCTCTCCCTATCGCGTCGCTGTCAGGGAGACAATACATTTCAATCTTCAATGGGTTGTTTTCTTATCGCCAACATTATCAAGAACAGTACTAACACATTACTACTCCAGCTAAAAAATTTGAATTCTGACGTCCAGTTGCTGCCATAACGGAGTTAAGTGATGATGTGCAAGAAGTGAACCACTGCACCATGCTGCAATCAACCATGACGTACAGTTGTATAACTTGCATCACCCAGTACAAATGTAACTTGTATGAGTGAGTATGGTTGAATTCCAGCAATATCACGGCGGGGGACACCAGAAATGGGTTTTACACTTTGTTTAACCGAAGTGGTAAACGTCTGATACCTGCATCACTTCGGGCTTTCCTCCCACATTAAGGATAGACACAGCCACTAGCCCGTCAGCCCAAGACTAGTAACAGTCCAGACAGACTAGTTGTATTCCAAAATCTGGTTATTTTACATAACCACAAGTCAGAAATTAGCTGTGGACTATTTGGATATGACCAATCGTGTCTACCCCTGACAATGTACACTGACGCTTTTGATTTATACAAGTTTTGGGGCAGTAGGGTAGCCTAGTGGTTAAGGCCTTCGCTTGTCATGCTGAAGACCAGGGTTCCAATACCCACATGAGTAAGTGGGTGAGTTGGGTTTAACGCCGCTTTTAACAGTATTCCAGTTATATCGCGGCGTGTCAGCTTAATTGTAAGCATGGTGTGACATCATGGAAACACAGGCCAGGTGTTTATTTCTAGGGTTGAAAACAAAAAACACATTACTCATCATACACATTAGACATATAAATTAAGTTTCAAGCCACTTTGTTCATGACCATACATTACATATCTAAATTCCTATCTCGTGGAAACCTTCCTGCCCAAAAACACTTTCTGGTGTCAATTGTAATACAACACTACTCATCATGATTATACTAATAGTAATCATGGTAATACATGATCAGATTGAAAAATATCCTTGATGTCAGCATTTCGTCACATTTTATGTTTTATTGCCTGAATGTTGTTTAATGATGCGCTCTGCAAGATGCCAGCTTTGTCACAACAGCCTCTAGATAAACAATTTCGACCAGGAAAACAAGTGAGTGATACCATAAGCAGCGACCCATGCCATCGGGGCATGATGACAAGCAATAAGCAATGATAAGTTAAATCACTGAGCCTGACCACTCAATGTCTTCAGTTTGGTATTACTTTGGCTGGGCATTTTGGAGATCTATTCATCTCTGGATTCCACATCTAGTAATATGCTCAAAGCATACCATTGCCATACCGCTTGGCCTCAGAGTTTGCAGCTTATCATGTTTACATTTTCTGTCAGTTTTATTCAGTTCTAATTTGAAGCAAAATTGAAACATTGATAACTGGTTCAGAATTTTAGCCATCAAATGCTAATAGGCAATGAGGACAACCATCATTGCATTTTCACTTTTAGAAGTTTTAGGCTCGTGGACTAGTATGAACAGTTACACTAGCATTGTCTGGTAATACAACTACCTAGTAACTAACCAATGGCAGTTTCCTCAACAGAAAGCTATCGTAGCAGGGCATGGTGTCATACCACAGATGACATCCTTACCATGACAGCTTGCTGACGGGGTTAGCCTCTTTGGTCATGTGGACAAGGCGTCCGACCTTGGATTAGAAGGTCTGTGGTTCGAATCACATCACGGGACTCAGAAATTTTATGGCCGCTACATTGGCACCCAAAGTGGGGCTGAGTGCGTTCATATTAAATTTGAGCAAAACAAGTATCAGTACCCTACTATGCGGCCCGGGACACGCCTTCTGTTGACGGGGAAGTATGTAGCAGGGCGTAGTGTCATCCCACAGATGACATCCTTATCTTGTCAGCTTCCTGACAGGGCTAACCTCTTTGGTCATATGGACAAGGCATCTGACCTCTGATCAGAAGGTCCATGGTTTGAATCCCGTCATGGGACTCAGAAATTTTATGGCCGCTACACTATGAAGATGACTCCATGATACAAAGCAACTATAGAGACTTGGAGTAACCATGCTACATGCACAAATCTGTTATCTGTGGACAGGCAGTCACGCATGTGAGTGACCCCCTCTCAGGTCGCCACTGTATGCGTAGCGGGGGATCAGTCTAGCATACATGTTATATCCTCTACTGGTTAAAATCAGGGCCTTTCCACAAAATTATGACTATTGCAAAGTAAAGTGTGGGAGTCCACCAGTTGAAGTGGTGGGATGTTTTCCACACTGTTATACTTACAATATTCCTCACCAGCTCATCAACATTTATTCCCAGATAGTCTAGTACAGCCAGTAGAATGTTTTGAAAGTCTTCTATGACATCCATCAGTCTTGCATCATATATCAACAATCAGCAATGTTTGTTAAGTTACTGAAATATATAAAAGGTTAATCATGTAAAGTGATGTGTGTGAAGTGAGTGAACTAGAATGGTTTTATACTGCTCTTAGCAATTCCAGCAATATCATAACAGGGAGATGTGTAGGGGAGTGAAAACAACTCTTGCATAGCAAAGTGAAACAATGTTCAGAGGATTTCACTCCCAATAAATCATTGTCAGTGTCACACCCACAGGAGCACATAATTTGCTAAAATTTCTTGATTACTTCAAGACTTTCAGAGGCATTTAAAAGTTGAAAGAACATGAATACATGACACTTTTGTATGGATAACAACTTCTTTATAACGATGTTTCTGGGTTTCTTCTTGTCCCTATAGCTTATAAGGTGAATGAATTCTTCGTTTAGGGCCTAATATATTCAACTATCCATTTGTGTATAACCGCATTATGTAACTGATCCGGCATAAATCACCCGTCAAATCTTTAAACATCATATGGGCCAGATCTGTCACCCATGCAATGCTGAAGTGTTTGCGCATGGTCATTTGTTGAGTCCATCGAAACAGCTGAAAGTTTCTTACTTAGCAAACTGTGCGACAAAGCCAAAAGACAACACTCTCGACAAACGAAGAATGACATCGGCATGTCCATATCAAAGAGACATTGTAATCAAATTTGTGTTTACTTGTGATATGTATCTTGTGTGATAAATTTTCTTCTTTCAAACGTACCACCATTCGTAGTGTTGATCCAATCGGGTCGTCGCTATTTTACATACTTTTCGAGACCACGGAAGCGTACCGCTTTTATCGAGTGGTATAGCTCCTCGTATCGCGCGTACAACTCAGTTTGACTGTTATTCTATGTGCGTTCGGCTGATACATGTGCGCTGTTATCGCTCTGTCGCCTGGCAAACAAGAAATGTTATAATACATGGATGCGGTGAATTCGTAGACACCGCCACCTCGAAGACAAACCGGGAGTGAAGTTAGATATTGGAATTGAATGATGATAAGTAATCTTAGCATTATTATTATTATCACTGATCGGCATACCGGTCTCGTTTATGTTTCTGAGTGTTTCGTTTGCATGTTGTTGTTTTTTTAATTTCAAAAGTGTTTAATAAAAGATATGGTAAGGCCTCTTTGTAAATAAATTAATAACCCGGTAAGTGGTGAATAGGGGATTACCGTACTTTTGTTTTGAAAGCATTAGCAGTATCCTTTGTAAATAGGTACATACATGTTTATCCAAGCAGAGAGGGACAAGATGATAGCAATAATATTATTGTCATTTAAAACTTACTATTTGAAATACATTTGCCACATAATATGTAATAAATCAATAGATGAGTATATTTCCCTACCATATGTCTTTTGTCTACGAGTTCCCTGAATTTTGTCTTCGATTTTGGAGTGTCTAGGAATTCTCCTTGTTCCCATTTTTTGTGGTGAGGAATATCTATGTGAGAATTTTAATGTGTATAGAGGCTAGAAGTATGTATATTGTTTCGCAATTTTATGTCAAGTTTCATATTTAGGACGTGTTTGTTATTTCATTCTTATTTAAGAAAGTACAATGTTTCCCAATAGCATTAACAACCACTAAAATAAAATAATTTTATTTTCATCGTACACATTTTCACCCTGCTTCATAGAAAAAAACATTCTAATAGGAGGGTCCGACTTTCTTTCCCAACGCAATATTTTCACCACATCCAACACGTCCTTTAATCATAATTTTGTGTGTAGAAGTTGAGGCAATTGTTTTTAAAGTATTTCCTGGTACAAATTGTAATCTTATAAGATTACCGTGGTTACACCTCTTATCTTACCCACAGTGGACGTCTCTACATTTTCATTTCCCAATATGCCATACATGTGTACCACCATTCACCACTTCGGTGAAACCCACATTTTCTTTTGTCAGGGTCTGTATGTGACACTATTTAAATAGTCAGGCTTTCAGAGGCCATTTTCATACCACTTCTAAAACCATCCAATAAGGCTGAATAAGGCCATGAAAGAATAAATTATGTTGTAGAGTAATATTACAATTGTGGAAATATGATGAAACAAATACCCGACAACGCGTTTCGTGATCGTGGTTGTCTTTAGCAATAACACACCGACCATACCCTCCAACAATCCTCCAGCTCCGAGGCTCACTTCTCCGTGCTTTAAATGTTGTTAACCATGCATTCAGACACTCTAGACTGCATTCTAGTTCCAAACATACTTTCAATCATGAATCTAACATAGCTGCCACCCCATGTGACCTAGGACTTAAAGACTCCAAAATATCATGCATTCCTTGGACTGTTTGGGAACAACACGTTCAATCAGTTTTAATTAATTAATTTATATATATATAGGTCTTAAATCTTCAGACCATTGAGTCTGTATATAACCCACAATGGCATCGAACATTGAGAGAAATCGGACAACTACCTCAAGAGTCACAGATGGCTGAAAAATGGTGTATTAGAGCTGAAAAAACATTTTTGATCCTGGAACAGATCACATCTTAAGAGGTCACAGGTTCATATACCTTTTAAGTAGTCCGACATATTAATAGTTTAACAATGAATTTAGACAAGACAGAAGGGTACTTTCAGCGACAAATGTGTAGATGGGCATCTAAGTAGTTCTAAAAAAGATAGAAAGTAACAATATACCACGGTTTAACACCTGTTTTCCAAAGCGCCCACGCTCTATATAAATATCACCAACCTACTTTTCGAGACCAAAATGGCCGCCATCAACAGACGTTTGGAGGCCATTTTTCAAAGCTTTTTAGCAATGAATTTAGGCTAGACAGAAGGGTACTTTCAGCGATAAAAGTGTAGATGGGCATCTTAATAGTTCTAAAAAAGATAGAAAGTAACAATATACCACGGTTAAACACCTGTTTTCTAAAGCGCCCACGCCCTATATAAATATCACCAACCTACTTTTCGAGACATACCTACTTTTGGAGACAAACATGGCCGCCCCCATGCAACGGACGTTTCGAGACATTTTTTTTACCCCTTTTTAACAATGAATTTAGACGAGACAGAAGGGTACTTTCAGAGACAAATGTGTAGATGGACATCTAAATAGTTCTAAAAAAGATAGAAAGTGACAATATACCACGGTTTAACACCTGTTTTCCAAAGCGCTCACGCCCTATGTAAACATCACCAACCTACTTTTCGAGACCAAAATGGCCGCCATCAACAGACGTTTGGAGACCATTTTTCAAAGCTTTTAAGCAATGAATTTAGGCGAGACAAAAGGGTACTTTCAGCGATAAAAGTGTTGAAGGGCATCTTAATAGTTCTAAGAAAGATAGAAAGTAACAATATACCACGGTATAACACGTGTTTTTCAAAGCGCCCACGCCCTATATAAACATCACCAACCTACTTTTCGAGACCAACCTACTTTTGGAGACAAACATGGCCGCCCCCATGCAACGGACGTTTCGAGACATTTTTTTTACCCCTTTTTAACAATGAATTTAGACGAGACAGAAGGGTACTTTCAGCGACAAATGTGTAGATGGGCATCTAAATAGTTCTAAAAAAGATAGAAAGTGACAATATACCACGGTTTAACACCTGTTTTCCAAAGCGCCCACGCTCTATATAAATATCACCAACCTACTTTTCGAGACATACCTACTTTTCGAGACCAAAATGGCCGCCATCAACAGACGTTTGGAGACCATTTTCCAAAGCTTTTAAGCAATGAATTTAGGCGAGACAGAAGGGTACTTTCAGCGATAAAAGTGTTGATGGGCATCTTAATAGTTCTAAAAAAGATAGAAAGTGACAACATACCACGGTTTAACACCTGTTTTCCAAAGCGCTCACGCCCTATATAAACATCACCAACCTACTTTTGGAGACAAACATGGCCGCCATCAACAGACGTTTGGAGACCATTTTTCAAAGCTTTTAAGCAATGAATTTAGGCGAGACAGAAGGGTACTTTCAGCGATAAAAGTGTTGAAGGGCATCTTAATAGTTCTAAGAAAGATAGAAAGTAACAATATACCACGGTATAACACGTGTTTTTCAAAGCGCCCACGCCCTATATAAACATCACCAACCTACTTTTCGAGACCAACCTACTTTTGGAGACAAACATGGCCGCCCCCATGCAACGGACGTTTCGAGACATTTTTTTTACCCCTTTTTAACAATGAATTTAGACGAGACAGAAGGGTACTTTCAGCGACAAATGTGTAGATGGGCATCTAAATAGTTCTAAGAAAGATAGAAAGTAACAATATACCACGGTATAACACTTGTTTTTCAAAGCGCCCACGCCCTATATAAACATCACCAACCTACTTTTCGAGACCAACCTACTTTTGGAGACAAACATGGCCGCCCCCATGCAACGGACGTTTCGAGACATTTTTTTCAACCCTTTTTAACAATGAATTTAGACGAGACAAAAGGGTACTTTCAGAGACAAATGTGTAGATGGGCATCTAAATAGTTCTAAAAAAGATAGAAAGTGACAATATACCACGGTTTAACACCTGTTTTCCAAAGCGCCCACGCTCTATATAAATATCACCAACCTACTTTTCGAGACCAAAATGGCCGCCATCAACAGACGTTTGGAGACCATTTTTCAAAGCTTTTAAGCAATGAATTTAGGCGAGACAAAAGGGTACTTTCAGCGATAAAAGTGTTGAAGGGCATCTTAATAGTTCTAAGAAAGATAGAAAGTAACAATATACCACGGTATAACACGTGTTTTTCAAAGCGCCCACGCCCTATATAAACATCACCAACCTACTTTTCGAGACATACCTACTTTTGGAGACAAACATGGCCGCCCCCATGCAACGGACGTTTCGAGACATTTTTTTTACCCCTTTTTAACAATGAATTTAGACGAGACAAAAGGGTACTTTCAGCGACAAATGTGTAGATGGGCATCTAAATAGTTCTAAAAAAGATAGAAAGTGACAATATACCACGGTTTAACACCTGTTTTCCAAAGCGCCCACGCCCTATATAAATATCACCAACCTACTTTTCGAGACATACCTACTTTTCGAGACCAAAATGGCCGCCATCAACAGACGTTTGGAGACCATTTTTCAAAGCTTTTAAGCAATGAATTTAGGCGAGACAGAAGGGTACTTTCAGCGATAAAAGTGTAGATGGGCATCTTAATAGTTCTAAAAAAGATAGAAAGTAACAATATACCACGGTATAACACGTGTTTTTCAAAGCGCCCACGCCCTATATAAACATCACCAACCTACTTTTCGAGACCAACCTACTTTTCGAGACAAACATGGCCGCCCCCATGCAACGGACGTTTGGAGACATTGTTTTTACCCCTTTATAACAATGAATTTAGAAGAGACAGAAGGGTACTTTCAGTGACAAATGTGTAGATGGGCATCTTAATAGTTCTAAAAAAGATAGAAAGTGACAATATACCACGGTTTAACACCTGTTTTCCAAAGCGCCATCGCTCTATATAAATATCACCAACCTACTTTTCGAGACATACCTACTTTTCGAGACCAAAATGGCCGCCATCAACAGACGTTTGGAGACCATTTCTTAACGCTTTTTAACAATGAATTTAGACGAGACAGAAGGGAATTTCAGCGACAAATGTGTAGATGGGCATCTAAATAGTTCTAAAAAAGATAGAAAGTGACAATATACCACGGTTTAACACCTGTTTTCAAAAGCGCCCACGCTCTATATAAATATCACCAACCTACTTTTCGAGAC